TCTAAACATGGTGCAAAACATTAATAACAAAAGTTACAATTAAACTAGTCTTCTTCCCAAATACCCATATGTCTAATATGTATGAGATGGTGTTAAACAGGGGGCTTACAGCTCGGGGAGAGGTAGACAGGTCCCATGGCCCCAAGTCTAGGATGACATCTGGTATTGGTTGATGGGTGGGGTGAGAACAAGAGAGGGAACATTTATGCAGGATGTGGTATCAGCACCTGTAATACATTTTAGGGAGTCCTTCTTCTCTTTGCAGTATGCCCTGACAATAATTATATCCATCAGCCTAGCCCCCTTGGCCGTTGAAACACTAAGACTGTCTTAGGATCCCTGCTTCAGTTTCTCAGAGGTACTGGTGAGGGCATTAAGAGTCTGAAGACCTGGAAATGCATTCTGACTCTGCCACTAGCCAGACAGACCTGAACTAGGCATGTTACCTCTTTGTACCACTCGGCTCTAACCCCTCATTCAAAAACCCAGAATTTTCAACTGGTGTTTTTCACATCAGCCTTTGTGTAAATTTTCATTTGAAGAAAGGTTTGTTTTGGTTTTGGTTTTGGTTTAACCAAACGTTTAAAAATGAATGGTCTAGATGATTTCAAAGTTGGCTTTCCTTTTTCTGTGCTTTTCCTACTATTTAAAAACTTCACCTCCTTGATTTCTTGATCTCTCTTTCTGCACTGCTGGGTCTGGGAGCATTGAGGTCAAGTAAAAGGAACCTTGGCAAATGAGGAACACCTATAGGTGTGCCAGGCTGCTCCCAGTGTTTTGCATTTTTAAAAATTTAAATGCTGCAAACCTCTATGAATTAGATATTATTGTTCCTAGTTTACAAATGAGGAACCTGAAGCTCAGAGAAGATGTGGGATGGTACAGACAAACCTGAATTGGAACCCTGGCTCCCACTTACTGGCTGTCGGGACTTAGAAAAGTCATAAAGCATGGTGTCTTAAGCCTGTAATCCCAGCACTTTGGGAGGCCAAGGCGGAAAGATCATGAGGTCAGGAGCTCGAGACCAGCCTGACCAACATGGTGAAATCCTGCCTCTACTAAAAGTACAAAAATTGGCCAGGTGTGGTGGCGCACCCCTGTAATCCCAGCTACTCAGGAGGTTGAGGCAGGAGAATAGTATGAGCCTGGGAGGTGGAGGCTGGCTGCAGTGAGCTGAGATCGTGCCACTGCACTCCAGGCTGGGTGACAGGGTGAGACTCCATGTCAATAAAAAAAGAAAGAAAGGAAAGAAGAAAAGAAAGAGAAAGAAAGAAAGGGAGAGAGAGAGAGAGAGAGAGAGAGAAAGAAGAAAGAAAGAAAGAAAGAAAGAAAGAAAGAAAGAAAGAAAGAAAGAAAGAAAGAAAGAAAGAAAAAGAAAGACAAAGGAAGGGAAAGAAAGAAAGGAGGAAGGGAGGGAGGGAGGGAGGGAAGGAAGGAAGGAAGGGGAGAGGAGAGGAGAGGAGAGGAGGAAGAGAAGAGAGAAAGAAAGAAAAGTCATGAGCTCTTGTTGATTGCTTCCTCAGCTGAAATGGGGGCTGCAGGGTTGTTGGGGCAGAAACAATAAGAAAGTGCATCAAGCACCGAGCACATGCTAAGCACTCCATCATGGCAGCTCCTGATAATAATACGGAATAGAGTTGTATCTAACATGACTCTTTCTTGCAAGTGACAGAAAATCCAACTTAAGTTGGATTAAGCAAAAAAGGGAAATTCTTAGTGAACTGAAAATTTTGCAGGCTCACATCATGGCTCCAGGCCCTGTCCAGTCATGGAGTAGGCATTATTCTTGGGCACAAAGGTGATATTCTCGTGGCTGCAGATGCTGTGGTGGCTCTGGCTCTGCCAGGAAAGAAATAAGGAAGGCCACTCTCCCCATTACACAAACAATAGTTTTCTAGCTCTGAGAGGTCGAACTTGTGTCACCAGCCTGGCCCTAAACCCATCACTGATTAACTCTAACTTACATCAGCTGTTCCATGCTGGAGGTGGACACAGGACCACACTCATACCAAGATGGGAGCAAAGGGTAGTTCCCTCAACAGGATTATAGGATATAGTGTGATAGGCTGCTGGGCAGCCAAAAAGCAAACAGATCCTCTACAATGCCTCAACTGATGAAAGCACGAAACTAAAATCATAAAGATCTGTGTGTGAGTTCTGGCTCTCCCATCTTCCTCGTGAGATTGAGCAGTTAGTTAATCTCTTTTAGCCTCAGTTTTCTCACCTGTACCAACATATATGGTCATTGTGAGGATTAAGATTATGCCTTATCATCATCACTATCATCACCATCCATATTGCAACCACAACTACCATCATCATCCCCTCAAACATCATCACCACCACAACCACCATCACAATTATCATTACCACCACTATCACCATTGTCACCCTCAACATCATCACCCTCATCACTATCATCACCACCACCATCATCACTACCACTACCATCACTGTCATCATTCCACCACCAACACCATTAACATTACCATCACTATCACCACCACCACCACCACCATCATTACTGCCATCAGCATCACCATCACCATCATCACCATCACCATCATTATCAACCATCATCACCACCATTCCACCACCATCACCATTATCATCACCACCACTATCAACTTGATAGTCATTATGATTACTACCACCATTAGCATTATCATTACCACCACCACTACCATCACCATCACCATCACTATCATTTCACCACCAGCACAATTATCATTACCACTACCATCACTACCACCCTCATCACAACCCTCATAATCACCACCATTCCACCACCACCACCACCATCACTATCATTATCCATAGACATCACATAACCAGTTTGTAGCTGGGTCTTGAGCGCAGAGCCCACTCACTGTTTCTTCAGTCCCGCCAACAACCACCAGGATGAGTCACAAAACATAACTCAGGCCTGTTCATCAATTTTCCACATGTCAATAATGACATTGAATCAGTGGGTGTTCTCAGCTTATCAGAGGGAGGTTAAAGTTATCCTCCTCTTCCCTTCGCGTTTCCAGATGTTCCCTGACTTGGATGTTCCAAACGCAGAGTTTGGAGGTGTTGAGGCCAAGGGGTTTTTCCAGGTCAGCCGTCATCTGCAATCACTGAGCTGATCCTGATGCTGGACTTTCCCTGTTGCCCTCTCCCCAAGGCCCCATCAGGGAGGGCTTCAATCCTCAGGTCACCTGTGGCCTTCCGGCCCTCAGAGGTGCCATCTCTACATCTACCACTGGAAGGCAGCACGTACCCACAGACTGCATCAATTTCCCTGCAACTCATGGTGGGTTTTCTCCCTTATCAGGGTGTTTGCCTTGCTCAGAGAGCAGATCCCAGAGCAGTGACACCTAACTTAATTTTCAGCAAAATATTTTGAGAAGGGTGCTCCCTCACACATCTACACAGTCCAGGTCATGCACCCACTGCCCAGTGCTTGGTGGTCAAGAGGAGCTTCCTCCCTGCAGCTCTGCCCAGATAGGGCTGAGCTGGGCTCTGGAGCGAGGCACTGGGATGAGCCTCTTCCATGCAGCTCATGTAAACTCCAGAATCAGTGTCAGTTTTCTGAACCCGAGACAATGATCTAAACGCAGTCAAAGGCTTTGGGGAAAGAAAGAGAGTGCCTCGGTTCTTGCCTGTGTCATGCTCACAAAGCAAAGAGTTTTGCAAAATTTCAATGAAACGTGGGCTTGCAAAATTGGAAAACTGGATTATTTGTGAGAACACCGAGACATCCCTGGGCATGTCTATCTGGAAAAACGACATTTTCTCTGGCAATTTTGCAGACATTCTATTTCAATTCGGCAAAGAAAATAAAGCCGTTTTTCACAAAGGCAGAAATACAACTAGAATGTTCACTCTCCCTAATTGTCAAACAAGTGTAAATTGGAAAATGAATCAGGACAATTTCAACCTATTTGATTAGCTAATATTTTAAAAATCGAACCTCATACAAGTGAGGTGAAGTGATTGCTTTCTAGTGACACGACACACCATCATACCCTTTTACAGATAATTTGGCAATGTTATTGGGAGACAGAAATATGTCTATGTAATTTATGGGAACTTAGGCTCAGAAAATATTAAGGAATAAGAATGAACTTTATGAACAAACATGTGGAAGGTTGGAAGCAAGAATGGGGCCAATGTGCTTGGGGAGGAAGCATTAGGGCAGTGACTCCACAGACCCAGGCTCAAGCTGAACTACACAACCTCCTTATGCCTTAGTTTCCTTAACTGTAGAACAGAAATGATAAAAGTGCCTGTTTCACAGGACTGTTGCGAGGATTAAGTGAGATACAACATATTATAAGCGTGTGCCTGGAAAGGTTAATTCTTGGTAAATGATGACTATTCTTTTTATTACAATAAAATATACAAAACATAAGGTTTACTATTTTAACCCTTTTGGAAGGTACCATTGAGTGGCATTTAGTACATTCACAATGGTGTGCAACCATCATCATATTTCCAGAACATTTTCCTCATCCCCAAAGGAAACCTCATGCTCATTAAGTAGTAGCTCCCCATTAACATATTAGTTATGAAGATTGTAGAATTATACGGAACTCATGATACAACGTTGAGTGAAAAAATCAATATGTGAAATTTTGTGTTATGATGTAATTAGTAAAAGAAGCATATTAAAAGGTCTGAAAAAAGAATATATAAAATAGCAATTGCATTTTTCAGACTCTACATTTTAAACATTATTCTTTATAGTTGTAAAAGCAAAAAGTAGAGAAACAACAATCAACTCCAAACCACCATGACAAAGCCCAGATTGTTAAATCCAGGTCTCAGGAACAGAGAATCGTATGTGATATTTACATTCTGCAGGGTCAGAGACCTCAGCGGCATTGGTTGCTGCCTTGTGTTCTGCAGCCTCACAAACAGACAGGAGGTCCAGGGCTGCTGCTCTGTTCTTCTGGAATTTCCTCCTGAACATGTTTTGGGTGCAGTAACCATTTCTTTCATCTTTTTAAAAACAGGTACCTATGGGGCTGGCCTTCTCAAGGAAGCCCGGCTCCCCGTGATTGAGAATAAAGTGTGCAATCGCTATGAGCTTCTGAATGGAAGAGTCAAATCCACCGAGCTCTGTGCTGGGCATTTGGCCGGAGGCACTGACAGTTGCCAGGTAAGAAAAGATCGAGAGACCAAAGTTAGTCTTGTGCTCTCCCGTCTCGGTCTCACCCCCTTAGACTTCATTCCCCAGGTGGCAAATTCAAGGATTTTCCACCGAAGACTCCTAAATGTTGCTCAGAAACTCCCTAGATCTGTCCCTGAATGCATATTCAGATCATCTAAGGGGATGTCTTGGGGCTTGAGTTCCAGATCTGTAGCAAGGGAGTTTTAAGTGCCTTAACTACCTCAGGCCACTCACCCTCCTGGGGTGTGCTGGTGGCCAGGGACTAAAGTGGTGACTTTTCTGGTAGGAAGGAGGTAGAGGGTACAGGACAGAGACCAACTGCACACACTTTACAGTGATGCCCAGGCTAGGCCAGTCTAAAGGAAACACCAACATAGGAAGGGATGTGTGCAGGATTCACAAGGGGTTTTTTTACCCCCAGGAGAAACTAAGTGGTGTGGTTTTGCTGAACAGATTTTGCTAAGTACTTAAGCACTGCACATGCTTGAGTAATATGCTCATAGTCCCTTTCTGATTTCAATTACTGGGAAAATGTACACATGGATAATAGAAGGATAGTATCCCATAATAAAAGACTGGCAGCCTAACCCTCACATGGATTTTTCTCCCTCTGTATAGGGTGACAGTGGAGGGCCTCTGGTTTGCTTCGAGAAGGACAAATACATTTTACAAGGAGTTACTTCTTGGGGTCTTGGCTGTGCGCGTCCCAATAAGCCAGGTGTCTATGTTCGTGTTTCAAGGTTCATCACTTGGATCGAGGGAGTGATGAGAAATAATTAATTGGACGGGATTACAGAGTGAAGCATTGACTCACCTAGAGGCTGGAACGTGGGTAGGGATTTAGCATGCTGGAAATAACTGACAGTAAACAAACGAGGACATTGTCCCCAGCTACCAGGGAAGCCAAACCTCAGCATTTTTTGTATTATTTTCTGACTGCTGGATTCTGTAATAAGGTGGCATAGCTATGACATTTGTTAAAAATAAACTCTGTACTTAACTTTGATTTGAGTTAATTTTGGTTTTGGTCTTCAACATTTTCATGCCACCAATTTTAAATGGGCAGACGGGGGGGTTTAGCTGCTTTTGATAAGGAACAGCTGCACAAAGGACTGGGCAGGCTGCAAGGTCACAGAGGGGAGAGCCAAGAAGTCCTAAGAAGTTGTCCATGCGTTTACCTCATCAGCTAATGAGGGCTTGACACACATTTTTACTGTCTTTATTCCTAACACTGAGATGAATGTTTTCAAAGCTGCAACATGTATGGGGAGTCATGCAAACTGGTTCTGTTATTGGGAATGAAATCTGTCACTGACTGCTTGACTTGAGCCCAGCCCAGGGGACATGGAGCAGAGAGCTGTATACCATGGAGTGAATCGGGCCATGGACGTGTAACACAAGACCAGCTGAGAGTCTGAATGCTATTCTGGGGCACATGTGAGTCTAGGACTGGTGCCAAGAGCATGTAAATGAACAACAAGCAAATATTGAAGGTAGACTACTTATTTCCCATTGTTAATTGCCTGCCCGGTTTTGAAACAGTCTGTAGTACACACGGTCACAGGAGAATGACCTGTGGGAGAGACACATGTTTAGAAGGAAGAGAAGGGGCAAATGTACATTTTTTACCATTTAAAATGTTGTTACCAAACAAAAATATCCACTCAAAATACAATTTAACAATGCAACAGTCATCTTATACCAGAGAAATGCAGAGAAAAGCAAAACTGCAAGTGACTGTGAATAAAGGGTGAAAGTCTCAAATCCTCAAAGAGCTGTGTTTATTTCATTGACAAATAGATTATCTGTATTCAATTCCGATGTGCTTTAAGGATGAAGATGCTCATTTTACAATTAGCACACACTTCGTGTATATTGTCGCCTGTTCTCCTTACAGAAATGTGAAGGATTCCCTTTGGTACCAGTTTTGCCTGTCCACATAAAGTATTTCATATTTCATTTTAAAATCTCAGCATAAAATATAGACTGCATCTGAAAACATATTGAATATAACATACAAAGCAGAACACACAAGTTCCACATTTCAAAAGCCTCGATAACAAAAAAGAAAGATCAAATCCCTTATTCGTCTCTGTAAAGTCATTTATAAAGCTTCTGCTGATCCTGTTAAGCATGGATACAATTGACCTTTCTTTTAAATTAAAACGTAAGCTCCTCCCCAAGACAACTCAAAGTGCCAAGATTGAATGGGAACTGTTCATGTTTTTAACTCTTGGCCACAGGCACCCTCGGAACTGAACTTAACAAATATATGAAAAATATCCCTTCACTTTTAAAATCCTAAGACCCAGAAATCATAATCCATGGGATTTGTTGAGTAAAGAAGAGAATCTGTGGCTCTAGGTGTCCACTAAAGGAGAGCCAAAAATGTCCTGAATAATCTCAGAACCACAGCATTATTTTATGAATAACAGAACCAAGACCTCAGATTGTACAGCAGATTGGTCTTTATTGCTGGAATGGGGCCTAAACCATGCCTGGACCCCCTGATGCTACAGAGAAGGTAGAGGGGAGAGACTCCTGACCTGTTCATGCTGCAAAGGCATGTGGAAACCAAGGTGAGCAGAGGACACGAATGCTCACATTCTGTGGCCCAGGAACCTGTGATTCAGTCTCCTCATTAACAGGATTCCCAAATTTTCATCCTCCCTGCAATTTTTCGAATGTTCAGTTATGGGCTTAGTCCCTTGACTGATAAGATTTGATGAATATTTCTGCACAAATTTCCCAAATCCTTGGTTTTCAAATCCTGCATTCTTGATGGAGCTGTTATGAGAATCAGGTGAGGGACTTCTCTCGTCTCTCTTTAGCCTAATGAGTCAGAGACCACTCCTCCAATGCAAGGAAACAAACAAACAAACAAAAACAGGAAGAGCCATGCACCTGAAAGGCTCTTTTTAAAGCCAGCTACATATTATGTGTTCCCAGAAACTTCAACAGTACCACAAATAGTCCTAACTCATCCAACATTATATAAAAATACTCTGGATACATTGAAGTCTTTATACAGTATTACAACAGCACAGCGTAATGTAGCTGAAACGCACACATGCATCTCTGCAAGGACAGCTTTGCAAGGAGGATCAGCTCCCGGATAGCTCCTTCCACCTTTGGCAGGGCCCTCAAAGGTGAGAGCTGGAAACTGGGGTTTTTTTTATTCCTGCCACACTTAAAATAATGTGGACTGAAAAAACAAAGGAGAAAGTCCTTATGAAAGATTATGCAACTAGTTAGAGGAAGGTCTTCTGTTATTATTTAATAGCATAGCTGGTTTTGATCAAATACACATACCTAACTTCTGATGAAAACCCAACTCAAAGGTAACAGAAATCACTTCAGGCTCCTTTTTTGACTTGCTTTCAGACCCTAAACAGAGGTTAGTTAGCATTACAGCATTTAAGCTCTTCATGAATTTCTACTGAATTAACATATGTTTGGAAATGAGCTACTGATATGAACAAAACCCAGCAGAAATGATAGAATAATCCAGTGCAGTTTTAGAAGGGAATACACTAACAGGTTTCAGCAATTTAGCACGAAGTAGTTTTTTTAGAGTAAATAATCATGGATCACAATCAACGTGCTTAATTTGTAGTACTGTAAACCATACTTCTAGATTTTTTTCAAGTGTGGGGACTAGGTATAATTAATCTATCCAACTTTTCGTTATGAAAATTTATAAACAGAAAAAAATGAGAATTTGTGTAACTTAAATTTTTGTTGGTATAATTCCCCATGTTTATATATTAGTTGGATATCAATTTTCCTTGCTCCCCTTTGGGACAATCCTGCACCACCCCACCACCCTTCACCAGCCACAATCAATCTCTCCCAGTTGCTTAACTTTAATGCGGCTGATGTGGTAGAAGAGTCCTGGTCTCAGAGGACTCCCTCTTCCTCCATTTCTTCCTGATGAGTTTGCAAATCTGACCCCTGATTGAATCAAGAATGAATGCACCATTCTCAGTGTGTACACAGGCAGCAGTCAATGGAGTACAATCAAAGGGAAGAAAGATTTTCCTCAGGATTTTTGAAATATTAAAAAACATTAGAGTTCCGTATCCTTAATTTCCAATTCATTATCAAGATTGCTTTTTATTTTTTAAGTTAGCTGTTAAATCATTTTTAAAGATTACACAAAAAGCACAAGACTACGTGTTGTAATTTTTTTAAAAAAAAATCAAACAGTACAGAAGTCTCTGACAGGAAAGTGATGGCCCTCCATTCCCTACCCATCTCCCCAGCTCATTTGTGTCCCCAGAGGACATATACTACATCTTTTACTATACATTCTCATGTTCATATTCTCTATCTTTTTCATGAAAAATTTAAAACAGAAACTTAGAAAGAATTTCAGTAATGTTAATTTTTGTTGATATAACTCTTCATGTTTGTATATTGGCTGGATATTAGCTTTCATTGTACACTATTTAAACACCTGCCTCCAAAACTCAGTCTCTCTTTCTTTTCTCTGCCTACTTATCTCTGTTACCTATCTATCATCTATTATCTATTTATCTATTCATCAATCCATCTATCCATTATCTATCATCTCCATCTATCTATCTATCGTCTATCATCCATCTACCTATTATCTGCCTAGCTACCATCTGTGTGTCATCTGTCTTCCTATCCAGCTAGAGAGGGACTGTCTTTGGTTTTAGTTTTTTATAAATACTACAACACATAATTCAGTGACGTTTCACTTTGTAATCAGTCTTGAAAATCTGCCTATGCCATTCCATCTACACAGACCTGACTCCTCACTCTGTAGAGTAAGCCACACTGTTAACCCTGCTGCTGCACGTCCCAGCGATTTCCACTTTCCCACATCAGCAACTCCTGCCTTTAGATCACTTCTGAGTCTTAGCACCTTACATGGAAATGCTTCTCTCTTCACAACCATGTTTAAAAAATAATGCATATTCTTATCTAGATTGGGTGGGGTTTTTTTACATTAATGTTTTATGTTTACTTTGAATTTTTTGCTTACAATATAAGATGAGGATTTATTGTTATTTTTCCCCTAAGCATATTCAATTTTCTCAACATCTTCCTTTCTCCACTGGTTTGAAATGCTGCTTTTCTTTGGGGTGCATTGAATTTTGGACAATGCCTACCAAGTTTTTCTACATCATCCACTGTTTCTGGCAAGGCAATACCCTTGGTTTCAGGCAAAAGCATCACAAGGCCACCACAGATGGATGCCAGGATACCTATGGAATACGGAAAGGTGTTACTGCCCCCAGGAAGACATAGCTGGGCCTTCCCCAACAGGCCTCCTCACTGTGAAGCCACTGTGTTACTCACTGGAGTAGCTGTCAACCACAGCAACCTCTGCATCCCACATCACTGCCTTGGCTCTCCTTTGTCATGATTTCAAATGTTCTCTCCTTTCCTCAAACCCTGAGTTATGGCCCCTGCACACCTGGCAGCCATGGGTTCACTCACACATCTCACAGTGATTGACTGAGTGCCTTCTTGGGGTCCAACACCCAAGGCCTCCCCTCCTACATCATAGGGAAACAGAAGTGCTGGAGGGGAGTCCCCTCTGCACCCTGTTACTGACACTCTCACCTGTTCCTCTCCCTCCCATTCCTCCTGTCATCTTACACTGGAAGAACTGTCTTGGTGTCTACCCCAGGGCCAGCACTCACTTAGACTTGCCTTTTTGGGTGCCTCACTGTAGTGATTAACCCTTTCTCCAGTATCTTTAACCTGTTGGGAGAAGCTTTCAAACATATTCAGATCTTTCTTGTTTGACCAGCCTTATCTCATTCTCACCTCATCCTTCCATTACCATCCTTTCTTTTACTGTTCTCTAGAGCCAAAGTTCTTGAAAGCCACCCTCTCCTATTTTCTCCACTTATTTGTATCCAAGTGGTGTGCTAGTAAATGTCTAACAACTGGCTTTGGGCAATCAAGCCCTGACTGGCAGCATCTGCCAATGTGCATTGTGTAAATGCTCCCACTGTGGGCCCTTCAGTCTACTGACACAACATCCCTGACTGT